GGATTAAACTGTGTGGACGTCCTCACAGTCAGCTACGTTAAACCCCTCAACAAGCTCACTTGTGTGCTCTAAAGTAAATGTTGCTTTTAACCTTAATGTGAAGTTATACTAATTAGACAGTGTTATGCTGTTAGGTTATGATTTCGGTTCTCTAACGTTAACGTTACCCTAATTAATGAAGAATGGTGCTAGCAAGCAAGCTTAGCGATAAGTTATCACGTAACGTTAACGTAAGTCAGGATTGTATGTTTTGAGTAGCGGCTGGATGTTAGCTAACTTTGTTATTCAAGATACAAACACCTAACGTTAATGTTACAGACACGCTGTGGTAGTTTTGATGGTGACTAACGTTACCGCCACCGTGTTGCCACAGTCCAACATTATTGTTTAAATTTCTTTAAAAAAATGACCAAATTTGAAAGGTGAGACTTTGTTTAATATGTTTAATATGAAAAGTAACCTGGTCTGTCAGCCTGTTGTCAGTCTCCTCTCTGCTCCGCGATGTATTTTTCACTGCTTGAGAACATGGTGTGTGCGTGAGAGCGGCGTAGTAGCTTGACGGACATAGCGACAGTAACTAAGGGGGGCGGGGCTTAGCCAAAGGTGAATTGGCGGTGCGGGTGGCGCAGCGGGCACGCGAAGCTGTTGAATCTGTTGGGTGAGCCCGGACACCTGCGCCACTAAAGCCTGAACAGCACGAGCCGTATCATTGATATTCTTTTCCTGGATGTCCATTCTTTGACTGCTGTTACTCAGAAACGCCTCTAGTGATGAGGAAGGGTCTCCTGCTGCTTCCATGTTTGAAGGTCAGATCGTTATGTCACGACAGACTGACGGAAGCAAGTGCAGTTAAACTCTTTTATTTAAAGGTAGTAACAATGTGAGAGTCCAACACAGGCAAACAGGTAGGTGGCGCAGGAACTCCGATGGTCAGATGGAAGGTGAAGCAGAGGTGCGGTGAAAGGTGTCCAATGAGCGATAATGTCCAGAAAATCCACAGAACAAGAACCGGAACAAGGAAGGCAAGAGACTGGAACGCGACAGGAACACAGACACACCGGGGAAACCACATACAACGATCTGACAGGGAAGATGAGAAAGTGGTGAGTATAAATACACATGATCTGACAAGCTGCAGCTGGTGAGGGGATAATGAGCTGATAGATAATGAACGCTGACGAGCGGAACGCCCATCTAATCAGCGCGCTGACATATAACAACAGAAACACGAGACAAGAAGAAAACGTAGGATTTACCAACCGTGACACGGGGTGAGCAAAGCTCATTATCATTTAAAGTCATATGCACTGAAACGGCGTGCTGAAAACAGAGCTGTTTTTGACCAGGTAAAATAAGTGTTTTCTTACAATACTAATGAGAATTTTTAATTAAAGTATATTACAAAGTTTTAATTTAGACTCTAAAGAATCATATTAACTTGTACAAAAATGGCATTGACCCCTTTAAAATAGAAAACAGATTTTTGAAAATCGTAATACAATTTCCCAATATTATTGTTTTTACTGTATTTGTGATCAAATAAATGCAGCCTTGGTGAGACTTCTTTAAAAAAAAAAAAAAAAAAAATTCTTACTGACCCCAAACTTTTGATAGGCATTGTACACCTGAAGAAGTAATTTACTGACAATTAAACTCGGAATCACACAATTAAAAGGTATTATTGCTTTTATGGCTTTGTGAACAAATACTGCACAATGGTAGAAGAATGACATAATATTTTTTAATAAATCTTAAAAATGAAGTGTTTTAAATAGAGCTGCTTGATTCTAGCTAAAAAAAAAAAAAAACAGAGATCATGATTCTCCCATGATTCTGAACAGACAACTACACAAAATAGCATGTAATTTACTAGAGATTCTGACAAATTGTTTATTGCTGCAGTCTATGTAAAATGTTTAGCTAATTCATCTGAATTAATTATTTTTATAAATGGTTTAAATGAATGATTCAATGACTCTCTTATAAATACTTCACTTGTTTCATTACTGCATGAATCAGCGTTTTTGAATGAATATCTTGAATGAGTGATTCAATGACAAATGACAAATATATTTTTGTAATTGTATTACATTGTTGTGTAACCATGTAATTGATACAATCGTTATTTGAAGTGCCAATTAAGTTACTTTCGCATCGAACATCATAGTGTTTATATCTGAACTATAAACTTTTATCCAAGTATTTCTGATAATTCTAATATTTTTAACACATAAATAATAAAACTGGGGTGCGTTTCCCAAAGCCAACTATGGTCGCAAGTTCCGTCGTTACCAATAGAGTTCAATGGAAATTGTGATCATAGTTGGCACAGGCGAGTCGTTGTCAGTTGAATGAGATTGCTTGTGTGTTTCAATTGAGATTGCGATCTTTTTACAATTAATTGTGCAGCTCTAGTTTGAAATATTTCTCTCTTTTGATTTATACATTCAGAGAGAATTTGAAGTCTACATTTTTAACCCTCTGGGCTTCTTCGTCCGAAATTGACCGAAAACGTTTACATTTTGAATTGTTTAATTTTTTCTCTTCATCGGATGGGGGTGAAACTTGGTGACTTTTGTTGTATTACCTATATGAACACACAAAAAAAATCAAGGAGATGATTCTGATATGTTAAAGGGTCTTAAAAAAAATAGTCACACTTAGCTTCCTCCCGGTCAAAAACGGGCGACATAGGAAATGAATGGGAAATATGAAAAAATAGGAAAACTCAGAGAAACTTTTGGTGGTACAAGCTACAGATCAGCCACTGTGCAGAAAAAAAGTGTACAGCAATGAAGGGGTGACACTCTAAAACATCAAGAGTGCAAATAAGACCCCCCCCTCCCCCCCCCCCACACACACACACACACACGCACACAAACACACACACACACATACACAGATATACTGGCAAGACTGCAACAGCAAATTTGTAGAATATGCAAAATAAAAGCAATAAATGAAAAAAAAAAATCTCGCTCAAATGCACACACACACACACAGAGAGAGAGAGAGAGATAGAGAGAGAGAGATTAACTGGTAAGACTGCAACAGCAAATTTTGAGAATATGCAAAAATAAATAAATAAAAAATACCAATTTATTGCTAAATGTCTGTATAAAGTGTTTTGAATTATCACTAACCATCCCTTATTTTGTTTAATTATTTGAATGATCAAATACTGAGTAACAAAAATGTTTGCATTGTGTTCCCTTTCTAACCAAATGCTATAGTTTGATTTTAATCATAATGCAAAACCTGATACTTATCTAAAAAAATTTGTTAAAAAAATAAAGTAGTCTTTTAGAATATCTAAATGTATATCTAAATTTAAAAAAAACCCGAATAAGATAGAGAAATCATGTCTAAAACAACAAAAGGAATCATAAAGCCTTTCTATGTATTTATATAGAAAGCTATAGGCAGCCTACAGGCTGGTACAGGACATTGCACACATTTAACTATTGTTTAAAGCCACTAGATGGCGCTCTTCTACTTGAACATTTTTTTTTTTTAGGCTGGCACTCTATTTTGATGTGAAATGTTGCATTTATTGAATTTTTTTTTAAATAAATATAAAATAAAAATATATATATTAATTCTAATGGAAAAAAATAGCTCATAAAAATTATATAATTAATGCAAAGTATCGTAAAAAATTCAAAAAATTCTAAATAATAATCAGAAAATATTATAGAACAAAACCATATTTGATTGGTCATCCTGGGAAAAAGTAAAGTTACATTTTAAGGCTTCGTCCGTTTTTGACCGGGAGGAAGCTAAGTGTAACCCATTTACGAAGAAGCCCAGAGGGTTAAAATGTAGACTTTAATTGTATTATTTGTGATTGTAAAGTGCACAATGAGAGGAGATATTAGGCCTACACCATTTTTTCTGGGGAATAATATTATCTTGAAAGAGATTTTAACAGACAGCAATATTTTTATCTTCAAGCAATTTGCTTGTCAAAAGTGAGTCATGTACTGTTGATTATTTGATTTTTGGATGTGAATATTGCATGTGCGCTTTCATGTGAATCCTCAGTAGATCTGGGAAAGATCATATGTAAAATGCATGTCGTTTTTTTTATTCTCTTCTTTTTCAAATCTGATTGAAGATTGGATTCGTAAAATATTGTCTTTCTGCCCAATAATCAGTTCAGGGCACATCCTGAATCTATACAAAAAAAAGGCTTTTCTTCTGGCCTAACAACATTAAATACACAGTCACTTGTCATGCGGAGTACCTTGTGGTTCTAATGTATCGTGCTCCATTTATCCAGCCTCCCGTGTGGGCGCAGCATAATGGAGCTCACAACGGAGCACATGATCTGAGTGAGCCGCCTTGCACAGTGTGTCTTCTATCAGCGCAAGCTACTTTTGAAGTTTCTACTTCTGCGTGTCACAAGATTTCTCATCACAAGACAAGACGCAAAACCCAGCAGCACAGAGTAAATAGACTCATAATATGTATTCGAAACCAAAAATGCTCCCTAAAACCACCTAGTGCCAGTAATTGCTGTACTATTAAAAAATTATTAGAAATACCCAATATTTGTAATGAAATTAAACATTTCCAAGAGAGCTCAGATTGTGTGATGTGGTGTGTATGTACATCCACTGGCAAGAAGATATTAGATCATTGGTTTGTGGTGAAGGCTAACTCTCTGAGCTCTATTAATAGTGCTGCTATCATCTTTCTCAAGGAGCTGTGTTGTTCACAGGGCATTGAGTAAGCTTTATGTTTTGGTACTGTGCTGTATCTTGTGGGTTTGCCTGTTTGCGGCAGCGACCTGTAAAATAAACCATTAGTTCTCAATGGTAGAGCATGGTGGTAGCAACGCAGATATCATGGGCTTGATTCCCAGGAAATAAATAAATGTATAAAATGTATAGCTTGAGCTAGAGTAAGTTTCTTTGGATAATTTGTTTCCCCCAAATGCATTCATGTAAATAAATGTCTTTTTCTTTTGTATCATTGGTATTTTATGTCTTTTTTAGGTGCGTAAAATTATCCGCGTGTGTAAGGGCATCCTGGAGTACCTGGCTGTCGCAGAGGTTGTGGAAACCATGGAGGACTTGATCACTTACACTAAAAACCTGGGACCAGGTACTTTTGTTTAATGCTTTTATGTATCTGTTACTTCCTGTTGAAGAGTTTTCATTCCATTCTGATTTGAATTTGAGTTGACGCTGTTGATATGTTGGCTCATGCAAATGGAAAGTTGGCAGGGATTATTTGCATGAATTGGATTCATTGTTATTATTGTTGAATGATTATTTTATTAAGATTTTTTTGTTACTTTTTAAGATAATAATCTTTAAATGAGGGTATGACTATGACCATGAAAAACTGTTATTTGTTATATATGTCCTATTCAACTGTTTTCATTAGGTGGTATTGTTTTGGAGGGACGAACTTCTATTTATGTGAGGCATTTTCAGTTTCTAGTAGCCTTTTTTTCTTGCTTCTATTTGTGCTTAATGTATAGCATGAACTATTGAAAAACAGTTTTTTTTCTTCAGAAATGCACATCAACTATGCACTTACTGACCCCAAACCGTTCAAAAGTTTGGGGTCAGTAAGTTTTTTTTTTTTTTTGAAAGAAATGAATACTTTTAATCAGCAAGGATACATTAAATTGATCAGGAGTGACAAGACATTTACTGTATAAAAAAATCCAGCTTTGCCCTCACATGAATAAATTAGTTTACAATGTATACAAATATAAAACAGTTATTTTAAATTGTAATAATATTATCACAAAATTACTATTTTAATCAAATAAATGGGGCCTTGGTGAATATAAGAGATTTCTTTCAAAACATCAAAAAATCTTACAGACTTTTGAATGGTAGAGTATAATTTTTAGATTTTATGTGTATATATATATATAAACTGATATTGGACATAATTTAACAATACTGTTATTCTTCCGTCTTTAGCAAATCCCAAATTGAACATCCATTTTTGGATTATAAATATATTAAGAATAATTGCTAGCTGGACAGTTCCTCAGTCCTTCATGTTTCTTGCAAAGCTGTTTAATATATATATTTTTTGTTAGGCATGACGAAAATGGCAAAGATGATTGACGAACGGCAACAGGAGCTGACACACCAGGAGCACCGTGTGATGCTGGTCACCTCCATGAACACAGTGAAGGAACTGCTGCCTGTGCTCATATCTGGTGAGAGACCAGCGAACCGCTGTGTGTGTGTGTGTGTGTGTGTGTGCGCGCTGCTTGTCGTCTCTGTGTGCCAGCCGTTGATATGGCAACACTGATAATTGGAGCCATTTAACCGCCTTAGTGGGAGGGATAGATTTTTCCCTTCATCCAGTTGGATTTCTGCAGTTGGCTCAGCAATAAATAGTCGGGTTGATGACGGCTCATCTGTACACGCAGAAAGGCTTTTAATGTTGATGTTTGAAAATATGTCTACTCATATGGAGATAATTAGTTGCCTGATTTTTGGATACATCAGAAATAAACTGCACTCTAATATTGATCTGTAAAGTAGTTTTAGATAGCTCATGAAAGGGAGTACTAAAAAAATTGTTTTTTGATACCCATTAGCAATTAAAATCTTTGTGACAACCAAGTGCACTAAGAGTCACGGTGTGGAGGAGGCCTTGAAGAACAGAAACTACACGTTTGAGAAGATGAGCGCTGAGATCAACGAGATTATCAGAGTGCTGCAACTCACTTCTTGGGACGAGGACGCCTGGGCCAACAAAGTATGAGCCTTATCACGTACATAAACGCATACACTCCTCCCTACAACCCCACCTTAAACAGTTACATTAAGCTACATTTGCTTGGAAAGATTAGACAGTTCCTACCGTCCCTGGGAAATTGAAGTGTACAATTTCTAATTCACTATGTTTCCAAAAGGTAAGCATGACAGTGGCATTTGTGTAGTAACGTAAAAATCCCATTCATTTTTTTCCACAGAAAATTTGATTTCTAATGATAATGTAAAAGCCTTGATGATCCACTCGGACATATGGATGGGAGAAATTGTAATTGTAACTCAATATATCGACTGTGCTTTACAGTTAAAAAAGCTATAAGCATAGCCTGCATATGCATTGTGATCAATATAGCTGCTTTAGGAATGGATGTCATTCCTTACACCTTGTCCTAACTAAAAGCGACAATCAACAAGAAGCGACAAAATCACAAATCACAGAAGACTTGTGGACAGGCTCTCTCTGCAAGTGCACTTCTGCTTCACATTTGCGACAAATTTGATGCGTGCATTATCAAATGGATTAAAAATAAACTAGTAGTTTTTTTAACTGAGTTCAAATTTTATCTCCCGTTGCCTGGTGTGTATCTGGAGTGGACAAAAACTCTGATTAACATGGACAATATACATTTTATTGCATATCGCAGCATCCCGTCTGGTTAGGACACGTTGCTACAGTTTTTGTTTGGTGCTTTAGAGGTGCAATTTATTTTAGAGTTGGAAATGGCTGCCTGGTGCATTACAAATGTGGACATCAAGTGAACTGACTTGCCTTAAAGGGGCTTAATAATCAGTTGTTTTGTATTGTACCTCATGACTGATTCAGTCATGTCACAGAGATGTTTTTTTTTTTTTTTTTTTACAATTTTATCCAAATATTCTAATCTTGTGATTTATCTGAAAGCTGGTTGTTTTAGTTCAAGGTTTAAATCATTTTTTTTAAGTGCATTTAAAGAAAATGAATGGGAAAAATACACGGCCGCTTCAAAAAAGAAATCTGCGTTCAATTGAGACCCCTTGGTGTATCTTTGTTTTTCTCTCTAAATGAATCTGACACTCCCATCCTGCTAATGTAATAATCTGTTCCATTTCCTGGACTGTTCACATTCAGGCTCAGAATTCACTGACTATATTACATTAAAATACACAGGCCTAATAACCAGCATAGATTAAAAAAAAACATCATCACGGCATCAGTGTTTAACCGTTAGATTAACGATCTGCCGTTTAATATTTCACGAAGTCTACTGAACCTGATTGATGACACCCTTTGCTTGCTTAGCATGCATATTAAATATTTTCATAAGAAACCACTCTACTCTCAAAATCAGTTTCCTAAGCTTTCATTTACTTTGCTGTCACCTCTGTTTTTTCTTTTTGCCCTGATATAACTCTGTAAACATGCCTCTTTCTTTTTTGCTCTCTTTCCGTTCTGTGTTCTTCCATTTTTTCCCCTTCCTATAGAAGGTAAGCTCTCCTCTCTCCCGCTCTGTAATGCGACAAACTGCATGCTAGATCATTGTGTTGCTAACTGTATGTCTGTGTTAGTATTTTCATTCTTGTTTTTTTTTTTTTTTACATTATGTTTGATAGAAAGCCCTTTCTCAGCCTGGCTTGCCATTTTAAATGCTGTATATATAAGGGGTGATGTATTTCGGAAACCTAGCACCAAAACAAAACAATAAATTACAATTAGAGAAGTTGTTTTCTGATGTGCTGTGGAATGCAACTGAGCCATTACTCATCGTCCACATCCACATCTCCCATTCTCTCATCATCCCTCATTTAGACACTCTGTCTCACAGTTAATCACTAATGTCTTGCTCTGAAAGTGACAACTTTTTAACACTTGATGTCTGTCTCCCGCTGTACACGTTCCTTTAATCTGAATGCTGTCTTACCAGATCAACCTGATGTTCTGCTCCATGACTCCTGATGCACCGCTCCACCCACTTTTAAATATCCAATGAAATGGCTTGACGAGTGCAGTTTGCTTTTGTGTTCATGTATTTCTTGTTGAAATAGAAAATTGGGGTGGTATAAATTGGAAAGCTCCTCCCTTTTCATTAAAATAGCCAATAGCCTTTAGTTTAGTTTTGCAATAAAAAGTGGTTTAGTCATGAGTTGCTTGTTGGAGGTTGCTCTGATTTTTGAGAGAATTTTATCGGACCAAATTTGTATACGCCTCTGAGTGTGATTGATGAATCATCAATCTTTTTGATCATTGTCCCTGAAAAGAAAGATTGTAAATTGAGCTAATATTGTCTTTTAGGTGTATACTAGGATATCAAGCTCAAAGCCATAAAACTCAATTTTTAATTTCATGTGGGTCTTTAAATCTCATTCTTTGAATGAAAATACACATGCAATATATCTAAGATATACGGAAAGGAGTAAGTGATACTAGTTAGCTAATATAAAGGGGTGGTTGATTATGATTTCACTTTTCTAACTTTAGTTAGTGTGTAATGTTGCTGTTTGAACATAAACAACATCTGCAAAGTTATAACGCTCAAAGTTCAAAGCAAAAGGAGATATTTTTCTTTAAAGAAATTGCTTTTTAAGGACTACAACAAATGGATGGTAGGGACTACACAAGTTTCCTCCTGGGTTACCGGTGACATAAGTAACCCTAAAATTTACATAAACCCCGCCCCCGGAAGTCAAGTCAAGTCAAGTCAAGTCATCTTCATTTATATAGCGCTTTTAACAATGGAGATTGTTTCAAAGCAGCTTTACAGAGATAAACATACAATTTACGGTAACAGAGATTGTTTTGGAACACGATTTATAGATTATCAAGAGAGATTATCAAGAGAGAATATGCTAATCATTGACAGAAGATAGCTACACATCAGCTACATAAATTCATCAACTAACCATTTAGAGATGTTCTCACCTCTTCTTGAGTCTCTCCATCTTTGTCTGACTCCGGTTTGAACATAAAAGGCTAAAGTTTTTAAAATTTTCAGTGCATGTCTATGTGAGTGCAAGCTGTTGAAGCTCCACCGTCTGTGCCGGGACCAGCTCATTTGCATTTAAAGGGACAGACACAAAATGCGTTTTTGCTCACCCTCAAAAAGTGACAATTTTAACATGCTATATAAAAATATCGGTGGGGTATTTTGAGCTAAAACTTCACATACACACTCTGGGGACATCAAAGATTTATTTTACATCTTGTGAAAAGGGCATTATATCACCCCTTTAATAATCGTTCTGGCACATTAAAAGAGTAAATTTTCAATCTTTTGAATAGCACACATTTAGCATTGGACCCACTTGCTTTTGTCTTGAGACAAAAATTGAGTTGAAACTCCATTCTGACTCTGGGCTCCCTTGTGCCTTATGACTGACAACATGAAAGATGGATTGTTGTAGTTTATTGCTCTTCAACTTCCTAAACCACTCATACACACACACACAGGGTGTGATTTGCTTCTGCTGAAGTATTTTTAACCCCGGTGGGGATAAAATTGATCAATTGATCAATGCTACTTCACCAATAGACCATATAAAATATCTTAAAAATAAAATTATATATATATATATATATATATATATAACTAATCAACATGCTTCAGCACACACGTTTAAACAACAATAAAATCATAAATGGACTTTCACTAATGGCGCTCTCGCTTTCACAAATCACACCCTGCACACACAGTCCATTTGCAGAGAATTAATTATAGACAATAAAGCCAATGCATTTCCAGATTCATTTATTGTTTCACTCATAACTGTAATCAGAAAATTATTTTTTATTTGTTTCCTTATTCAATAATATAAACTTCTGCAGGAATTCTCTAAATAGCCATTTCAAAAGCTTTTGTCACCTAATACCCTTACTACAGTTGACCTAAATCTTCCTTGACAATATTTACTCTGTTAGCCAAAAAGAGACGTTTTTGTCAGCCAGATGAATGTTTAACCTTTCCAGTATCTTTTTTGTAAAGAGTAAGTTAAGTTCATCATTAAAACTCGACATCAGTCATATTGTAATTCGCCACAACAGGTGCTTGTGATATTTGTCAAGAGATCAGGTGCATAAGCAGAATACATATTAAAGCAGAGATTATTCAAATACGTCTTCTGGGTCCATCATGACATTTTAATCAGGTTCAGATGTCCTTTTCCTGTCTCTGAACTCAGTGTCTGTAATAAAAGAGTGTGTTAATAACTAATGCAATATGGAATTGTACAGTAAGGGTTAGGTTCCTTTTCTACATACCCTTTAAAATTGACCTTGTTACCCATAACATAGGGAATACCAGGACCACACACACACTATACTACCATTCAGAAGTTTGGAGTCAATGTTTTTGAAACATATGCTCAGCAAGGCTGCATTTATTTGATAAAAAAATACAGTAAAACATTACTTTTTATTATTACAATTTAAAATAAAAAATTCTATTTGAATATATTTTAAAATGTAATTTATTCCTCTTATGGCAAAGCTGAATTTTCAGCCTCATTACTCCAGTTATCAGTGTCACATGATCCTTCAGAAATTATTCTATTATGCTTGTTTGGTGCTCAAAAAACATTAATTATTGTTATCAATGTTGCAGTTGCCTGGACTTTGCAGCTTGAGAATGCAACCCAATCCTAAGCTGAATCTATCCATTAATGCACGTGAATAGGAAATGACTCATCAACTTACAAATAATGTGATCTGTTTTGCTGGATGCTGAACGGTTGGCTGGAAAGCAGCAGTTACTGGATAGCAGGCAGGCAAAGTAAGCAGAGGAAATGGATTGGGCGGATAATTCATTTTAGCTGAAAGAAGACTCATTGATTATACTTGTGCTTCAGGTTTGCTTCAGGATCACCGCAAACTACATTTGGGCCTTTTTGATTTCATAATATTGATTTATGAAAGTGGGTTGACAGGAATCTAGCTGTTTATTTTAGATAAATTTGAATACAAACTGTATTTTACCGCTGAGATGGAGTGTAATAGGCAGCTGGAGCAGGTGCGAGGGGTTCATTTCCTACCCGTCTCCCTCTCCTGAATAGATCTGCTGCTTCAGCTGCCAGAGTGTCTCCTGCTGGAAATGCCACATGCAAAAACAATAACTCAGTTAACACTCTTTCTTAAAGGTGTATTATTGTCCTATCTTGCTGAATCAAAGACAACAACAAAAATCTATATATGTAGATTTCCAGATTAAGCCCTCGTACTCCACAACGTTCAACCAAGGTCCTGACTCTCTGTGGTCATAAAAAATCCCAGGATGTCCTTCGAAAAAAGAGTAGGGGTGTAACCCCGGCATCCTGGCCAAATTTTCCCATTGGCCTCTGTCCATCATCATAGCCTCCTAATCATCCCTATAAACTGATTGGCTTCATCACTCTGTCTCCTCTCCACCAATAAGCTGGTGTGTGGTGGGCGTTTTGGTGCAATATGGCTGCCGTCGCATCATCCAGGTGGATGCTGCACATTGGTGGTAGTTGAGAAGATTCATCCTTCCATATGTATAACCCTTTAAGTACCCATAAAAGTGCTATATAAATGGAACAAATTATTGTTAGTATTATCTTTCCCTTATTCTGATATATTTGTAGCAAGATATGACTGCTGGGGCCCTTAGGGGCCTAAAAACACTGCCGTAAATCAAAAGATCTCACCCCTCGTCTCTCGTATTCTGGTTTGCAGATATGGCTGGAGTATGTTTGTAGTTGCTAAGGTATTCTGAATCGTTGCTAGGGTGTTGCCAGTCTATTATTAATTGCCGCAAAGTCACATCAGTTAGAAAATTCATAGATAGCACACCTCTCCTCAATAAGCTGAAATAATCTGAGGTGTCAGTATTGAAGGCATGGCATTGATACTCACACTGAACATAATTTCACACCCATGCCCTTCATTTGTCTTTTAGTGTTATGCTCTTGATATGCACATTTTTGCGATTATGTGTGCATTGAATGCATTGTCTGTGCAGATGACTATTGCTTTAGACTGCAGTAGAGAGGAGTGCCAAATGCATGGCTGAGTTACTCAAACAGACGAGTTCTCCTCCAAATGTGTGCGTGGTGCAATGGAGTGTGAAGTGGTGATTATGTGGGTCGCTCTCGCACTTTGTGTGTGTGATTGAGAGAGGCAGAGGCTCCTCTTGCCCTTCAGAGGGAAAGAGCTGCAGAGCCCCCTCCCTTTACATCTACTCCCTCATATGAGCACACATGCAACCGCAAAAAACAACAACTGTATCCTCTCTGATACATGCGATTACATCCTTCCCTGTAAGGCCTAAATGACAAACATTACTGACTATTAACACACTCTTTTTCTTTGAAGGACACTGAGGCCATGAAGAGAGCGCTAGCTCTGATAGAGTCAAAGATGGGTCCTGCTAAAATCTGGCTGAGGGACCCTAACGGCCTACCAGGTAACATAACTACATCCATTAGCTCACTGTCATCTTTCAGGTGTTGAGGAAGTCATGTCAGGAATGGATTTTCTTTGATATTTTGAGATAAAATAACTGCGCTAGAAATACTGTAACTTTAAGTCAAACTTCTTCTTCAGTGAAATTTTAACATTTGTTGCACAAATTGCTTCTTTTTTCTGCAACTTTCTGACCTCAGATTTGAACACATGTGATCGCCAACATTTATGCGTTAATAAAACCTATTTGAATCTGTATTGGATCTTTACATGCTAACAAAGTGGTTTGATTCTATGTATCAGAGAGACAAATTTTATTATGACATGTATGTTTTTGACATTACAAAAAACTTTACCAAAAGTATTAATAATTAACTCATTTTATGGGGAAAAAAATAATTAAATAAAAAGAAACAAATAAAAAAGTATAATATGATCCAACTAGTCCTGTATGCCATACACTACTATTCAAAAGTTTGTGATCAGTAGGAATTTTTTTTATTGTTTTTTGAAGAAAAAAAAGTATCTTATGCTAACCAAGGCTATATTTATTTTATCAAAATACAGTAAAATAGTAATATTGCGAAATATTTTTATAATTTAAAACATTGTTTGTATTTTAAAAATTAAGTTATTTCCTGTAATGACAAAGCTGAATTTTCACGCATCATTATTCCAGTCTTCAGTGTCACATGATCCTTCAGAAATGATTCTAATATGCTGATTTGCTGCTCAGGAAACATTTCTTATTGTTATCAATATTGAAAACAGTTGTTCTGTTTAATATTTTAGTGAACAACACATTTTTTTCAAGATTTTTTGATGAATAAAACGTTCAAAAGAGCAGCATTTATTTGAATCTTTTGCAACCTTATGTCTTACTGCCATTTTTGATCAATTTAATGCATCCTTGCTGAATAAAAGTATGAATTTCCTTTTAAAAAATCTTTTGAACAGTAGTGTAGACAATATTTGTGTAATGTAGATGATTTTAATTGAAATAGATTAGTGGCCTAACAGCTGCTCTGGATGTTCTCGCACAGGAGATCCAGGAGAGCATGCTTTGCGTCAGATACTGGATGAAGCAGGAAAAGTGGGTGAGCTTTGTGCGGGGAAAGAGAGACGAGAGATCCTGGGAACAGCCAAGACCTTGGGCCAGATGACGGATCAGGTGTCAGATGTGCGCGCCAGGTACGCCCCCTTCAGGTTCACCCGAAGAAAAGGCAGATTCATAGTCAGAACCCATTATACTGCTGATTCCACAGACTATGAGATTCCTCAGTTCAGCATTTCACATTGAGAGCCAAATGCCAGCACATGTTCCTGTAGTGTTCACGTGAGCTGAATTATGCATTAATGCAGCTGTGTGCTGTTCATAATGATCATCTTTTATGCAACACATTACCCCTGTGTGATGTGTCTCAGGGGCTGTAACTGCTTCTAATTTACAACACGAGAAAGTGTGTCAGGTTTTTCAATAAACACAGTTTAGACGTTGTTTGTTAGCGGTCTAATTCTCCAGGGATTGTTTATCCCTGACTGTTGAGTACAGGAGAAGGAAGGAACGGTGTGGTACAGTTTGGGCCCATGTGTCAGGGATGTTGAAAGCTGGAGTGAAAGTGAAAGATCAGACGCTGGGCTCTGACTTCATTAGAGAGACTGAAGGAAAGCAGATTAAAGGCTGAAGGGCCGGATAATCAGCGGCTGCACAGGCCCACTGAACTCTCACACAGGGGAGGCTCTTTACACTGACCTGTGCATGCAGATCGAATGCTTACATGTTAAATTCTTTGCTTAAATTAAGTTCTCAAGGGTAGTCGGAGAGATCTTTATCCGAGAGAAATTTATTTGTATTTCTCAATTTATTTTTGTTATTTTGATTTTGTGATCATGTAAATTATAACATTACATTGGTAACACTTTACAACAATAAGTTTTCATTTGTTAACATTCGTTAACTACGGTACATTAGTTAAAGGTCCTGTATGTCATTTCTTTTGTACTAAAGCATAAAAGCACCATAATATGTTAGCAGAGATTTAGGAAACATGGTAAGCTCAAATACTTGTTTCTCCGAAAAGCAATGCTGAGCAATGCTATTCCATGTCGAAATGTCTGTTTTTGTTTTGGTCTGTGTGATCCCGACCACTGCCAATTTACCCAATAGTATTTCGATACCCGGGGTTGCCAGTTGGTGGAAAACACAGTGTATTGTAGCCATTGAAGTAAGCAAACGACCCGTGTCAGAAATTGCAGATTCTACCTGACCTAAAAAGCCTCGGCAATAAAAACATTGCAAACGTATACATTAGTTGATCAACTTACAGTCTAAGGCTCATCGCTTTCCATTGTCAATTGCGCTCATTCCTAGCCTGGTTAAAACCAGACCATTCTCAGTTGTAACTGAGTTATGGTCTGGCAAAGCGTCATAGACAAATCATTTCCAGAGGGGCGTCACCAACGGACGTCGCGGATAGACCTAAACCCAATCAGAGCGATGAAGGAGATGACGTATGCAGAGCGGGGGGAGAAACATCTCCGGGTGTTGTTCTTTGCTCGGTTTTTAACTAAAAGGAAACAGACGCGATAGCTGATTGGAACGAGTGATGTTCGACGGCGGCATCCATCTTTGTAATGTAGGCTACAAAATCTGCTTCAAAATCCCAGCGCTGTCGTCATCGTGTAAAGCCGCCCAACGTTTCTGATTGGTGCCGCGATTTCGGCGGATTGGAAATGGGCTTGAATGAGCTCTTTGCCAGACTAACTTTCAGAGAAAATCTAAATTTGCCGGAAGTTGTCTGGGTTTTCCCAGGCTAGCTCATTCCTGTTGCGTGCCCTGAATTTGGCAATCTGAATGAGTGTTGTTGAGTCTGAAAGGACAGGGCAATATTTTGAATTTGGACTGCAGTACCCATTTCAACCACTAGCTGTCAATATTACATAATGCACCTTTAATGCACTGTGTAGTGAATTAACATGAACATGAACCTTTTTTATTAAATAACATTAACAATGGTTAATCAGTGCTGTTAGAATATATTGCCCATTGTTAGTTCGTGTTAATTAATGCATTAACTAATGTTAACAAATGAGACCTTATTGTTAATTGTTACCATTAACATAATATGTTGCTTGTTCAGAGGTCAGGGTGCCACCCCTATGGGTATGCAGAAAGCTCAGCAGGTGGGCCAGGGTTTGGATATTCTGGTGGGGAAAGTGGAGAACGCTGCCCGAAAGCTGGAGGCCCTGACCAATGCCAAACAGGCCATCGCCAAGAGAATCGACACGGCCCAGGTCAGTCTTGAGATTGTTAAACATGAAGCATGAAGATGTTTCTTTAGTGGATTGGTTTGTTTAGTGTGTCTATTGTTTGCTTCAGGGCTCACATTTTAAACATCAAGTGACAAACTAACAGAGTCCCAACATTTATACCTAATCAACCTAATAAAATTACAACTTGGATAGTTTTAACCTAGTTTGAGTCAATAAATGGCCATTGATGTCAACAACAAAAGATATGGCAAGTGTTTTCTCCAGCCTCAATGTTCATAAGTCAATTTTTTGTCTATTTGTAATATCTTATTAAATTTTTTATTTAGTTATAGTTACATATTTGAAGAGACTATATGCATCCCAGAGGACCTGTGGGTCCTTAAAATGGGTACTCATAATTACAGACGTGTTCTCATCTAAATAGCTGTTGCATAAATCTGTCTCGACTGATGTTATTTAGTGGAGATGTGCTGTCTCATAAGTATTTAAAGGGTGGAATCATTGTACTTTGTGCAGTCGGTGCAGTGACAGAAAACCACAGATGAGTTCAGACAACGGCAAAGTATATGATTATATAACAGACTGATTCCTTATGTTGAATAACAATGCAACTGTTAATATTCCTTCAAATTGAAAACATAGGAGATGTTGACAAGTGTTACTCTAGTATAGTCATTCTGATAATAAGTTACTTACATTTCTTTTAACTAAATGTTCATTTCTGCACAGAGCTGGCTGGCTGATCCTAACGGTGGTCCGGAGGGGGAAGAGAACATCCGTGCTCTTCTGGCAGAGGCCAAGCGCATCGCTGACTTGTGTGAAGACCCTAAAGAGAGAGACGACATTCTGCGTTCCATCAGTGAGATCGCAGGACTCACTGCGAGACTGGTTGAACTTCGTAAAATGTAATTACAGTCCTACATTGCGAATGGCTTGAGACCTTTAATTTACAGGAACATTCAAGGTGTTCTTTCCACTTTCAAAGGACAGACGGTTTTCAGCTTCATATCACTCATGCCAGTCTGTCATGTTTAGAAAATGTTGTCTTTGATCAGAAAATGATGAAAAATGTGAACTTGATAAACCATTATCATGGTCATGGTTAGGTCACATTATGCAACCAAGATAATGTGCCTAGTGTGACTCTGGAATATATCTGTCTGATAATGTGATTCTTTAATTGATTTATTTTGTTTTATTCTCATGCTAATTATGTTATAAATGTTTTTTTGTTGTTGTTGAGTCTCACGTTCTGGTCCATTTTTGTGTCACAGGGGTAAAGGGGATACTCCTGAGGCTAGATCGCTGGCCAAACAGATTGGCACAGCTTTGCAAAACTTGCAGGCAAAGACTAACCGTGCCGTGGCCAACATGAGACCTGCCAAGGCTGCTGTTACCCTAGAGGGCAAAATGGAGCAGGCTTTGCGCTGGATCAACAACCCTGGAGTGGACGATCATGGAGTAGGTGGGTGGCATGGTGAAGTAAAACATTACGATTTAAATCAGACAAAAAACAACAACAACAAAAAGCAGCCTGGCAACCTATTTAAATCAGAATCAAAACCATGTAGCAGTTATACAATCTGTTTATGTTATTAGTGTAATGGGCATCCAGTCAAGTAAAAACCTCATCTGGGCATCTGAGGCAATTACTTTTCCCCCAAAGGATGACACTGGCATATTGAATGACTTATTCATATGTATGGAACTGGGCACTTGACTCTGGACCTTTATGTGATGTGACAGATGGCTATTTCCTCTGCCCCTGTTGTATTTATGTTCATACTTAAAATATTTCAAACCATAAATAGCTGCTTCGTGTCCTATTCACAGCAGGTCATGTTACTTTCAGGTTAACTTAGTCTTGGAGTAACTCTAGACCAGAGCTGTTCAGTGCTGCTTCTGGAGATCTACTTTTCCTGCAGTGGGACTGTGAAGTATGTACTTCGCTGGTGATGGGGAAAATCCATGATTTCGAGTGTGTAGCAAGACCAGTATTGAAACATACTACCACGTCATAGAATTGCATCTTGATACCACAGGCCACTGTCATCTTTCTAACTTCATTACATAAGAATTCATTGTTAATTAACCTTATTAAACTTTAAAAACGGCTATGGCAGCTTAGCTTTGCAACACTGAACATTTCTTTAACTGAAAAAGTTGAAAGTGAGTCTTCACAAGCTTCAAATGTTGCAAGGAATCATGGGTAATAATCACTTAAACATCATGCACGGATACTCAATTCAAAATCCACCAGAAACAGTATACTATCTACCCTTTTAACTTTGGATGCGTACTTGGATTCCAATCTTCCATACTACTTAAGTGGTGTGATAGTACTTCCAAATTAAGTAAATGTAATTTTTTTTTTTTTTTGGTTGTTTTTTTAAACTAGCAAATAGAGATACTACTTTACAGTGCTGGGGGTAACGCATTACAGGTAACGCGAATCACGTAATCAGTAATCAGATTACTTTTTTCAAGTAACTTATAAAGTAACACATTACTTTTAAAGTTACAACAAAATATCTGTGTTACTTTTTTAAATAAGGTGTTATGTGCGCTGTGTAAACACGATGGTGATTGTAGTTATAGACTAAATGTGAGAATGCATTTACTCATCTTACTTGCACAAAAACAGATTCAGTATTCCTCAAAATGAATCAAAATATAAAAATGAGATAATAGTTAAACAGAATATTATGCTAACCTGCAATAATTAAATGTTAAATAACACAAATATACTTTATGTATATTATCTCATTTTATTATGCCTTTGCTGCTGACTTTCGATGATCTAATTCAACCATACTAATAAGCAAAAATAACTTTAGATGAACATCACATTTGTGTTTCATTTTTGTTTTTGTTTTTATTGCTGCAATCCAGAAAGGCAGCACAGCTGAAAGGTTTGTTTGAGCTACACCCTCTACTGTACAATCATGAATTTGCATTTCCTTCAGCCAGAGCCTTATTCATTTCACTTTTGGTGTGAAAGGTCCTTTACATTTGGCAAAATAGGCAATTTTTGTTATAAAAAAACAAGCAAGCTCTGCCCAGGTGAGAAAAATTAACAAAAGTAATGTAATGCATCACTTTCCCCAAAAACTAACTAAGTAACACAATTAGTTACTTTTTAAGGGAGTAGCGCAATGTTGTAACGCATTAAAAAACAAAACAAAAAAACAAAAAAAAAACTGCTAATTTAAGTAATGATTGGTAGTCGCACATTAATTTCAAATTGGTTGTGAAGCAGCCGTTACCCTCTGCTTATTTACTATGGTAAAATGAATGAATAATAAATGTATGAATTTATCCACACAAAACAAATCAACACCAATAAGTTTGCTAGAAAATCATAGTAGGTTTTAGGGCTATTCAATTTAAATAAATATTGCGGCAAAATAAAAATGACTTTGTATGTAATTATTCACAACTGCCCATTTAACAGAAACAGTTTTACTGCAATTAGATTGGTAATTCTCAACTCACACTGATAGTTGATTAGAATACATCACATCTGATTGCGCGTTTATTTAAGAGACTGTCTGTTTGTCCAAACAATTGAAGACTGGAGTCGGTAGTGTTTGGGAAACCTGTTTGATCCTTTCTGCTAAAAATGACACATTTCATTATTAAATTACAAACATTTTGTTTGTGTTCCTAGTGCACAGGATGGATAGCTTGTTTTATATACGCAGACCCCATAACATTGTCTAGGTGCACCGGCCTGAATGGGAGCCTGTTATCTCTCTGTCTGTAGGCCAGGCTGCCATACGGGGACTGATAGCTGAGGGCCGTCGACTGGCGAACTCTCTACCAGGCCCGTACAGACAGGAGCTGCTAGCAATGTGTGAGCGAGTGGAGCAGCTGATGATGCAGTTGGCAGATCTGGCCGTGCGGGGAGAGGGAGAGAGTCCTCAGGCGCGCGCTGTGGCCGCTCATCTGCTGGAGGCAATTAAAGTAAGGCATCGTGTCCCCCTTTTCTATTAAAAGATCCCAGTATCTTTCCCACAGCAGGTGTGGGTGAAGCATAATCAGATGTTTAGATCTTCTCAAATGGGAAGTGCAGAGGTCAAATCTGCTGGCCTTAGAGTAGTGCAGTACACAAAGCGCTCAAGATAAGCAAATGATACCCTCTGCTGGAAAATATTTGCATTGCAATATATCAATTCCTACGCTATTTCCAGCAAATTACACTACCGGTCAAAAGTTAGGAATAATTATTAAAATAATTATAATAATTAAGGTTTTTTTTTATGTTTTTGAAGAACAGTAATATTATGAAATAGTATTATAATCTAAAAGAACTGTTTTCTATTTGATCATATTTTAAAATGTAATTTATTCCTGTTATGGGAAAGCTGAATTTTCAGCATCATTACTCCATTTTTCAATCACATGATCCTTCAGAAATCATTCTAATATTCTGATTGTTCGATATTATCAATTATTATTGGTGCTCAAGTATTAATAATGACACTTATTATTATCAATGTTAAAAACTGTTTTGGCAGTGATACATGTTTTCTTTGGTTCTTTAATGAATAGAAAGCTCAATAGAAAAGTAGAAAGAACAGCACTTATTTGAAATGGAAAGCTTTTGTAACATTATTAATGTCTTTGCTGTTACTTTTGAATGTGTCCTTGCTGAATAAAAGTATACAGTTTTCTTTCAATTTTTTAAAACTTACTTTCCCCAAAGATTTAAATGTTTTAGCAAAAAATATTAAACAGTACAACTGTTTTACAAATTGATAATAATAATAAATGTTTCTTGAGGACCAAATCAGCATATTACAATAATTTCTGAAAGATCATGTGACACTGAAGACTGGAGTAATGACTGGTGAAAATGTAACTTTGCAATCACAGGAAGAAATGTCATTTTAAAATATATTAAGTAATATAATAATAATAAATAATAATATATACAGTTTGTAAGATTGAAAACAGTTCTTTTGAATTGTTTCCCTGTATTTTTGATTAAATACAAGCAGCCTTGGTGAGCATACAAAACTTTTTATTCCAAATTTGTACCGGTAGTGTATGTTAACTGTACACTAAATTACCTGTATCATATTTTTCCTTCAAGGATCTGAAGGCAAAGATGCAGGAGGCAATGACCAAGGAGGTGTCTGATGTTTTCAGTGATACAACCACACCAATTAAACTCCTGGCTGTAGCAGCAACAGCACCTCTTGAGGCCCCCAACAGAGAGGAGGTCAGCCGAGTATACAGGCTCTTTTAAACAGATGCTTTTCAGTGTCAGATCAAATATGCTAATGCACACACAGTATCGCAAACCCTAAACCTAATCGTAAAAACACTTGCAATTTGTAGAAGAAACATTTATTTTAGGGCTATTTTTTATATCGAATACATCTGCAAAAAATGATTAATTTATATACAAATTTACCTTGCGTGGACATTTATATGTAAATTTGTAAGTACAACTTGGTCTGAAATGCACTCAAACATACCTAATTTTCCTCTAGGTCTTTGAAGAAAGGGCGTCTAACTTTGAGAATCATGCCAGCAGACTGGGTGCTACAGCGGAGAAGGCCGCTGCTGTGGGAACCGCCAATAAGAGCACAGTTGAAGGCATTCAGGCGGCCGTGAAATCAGCCAGAGGTCTAACACCTCAGGTATGCAGCTTAGATATGTATGTATGTATGTGTGTGTAATGTGTCTGTGAGGACGCCCAACTCTGTGCTTATGCATATAATTTAAGGGCACATAATGGTGTTCTTGGACATCAGCCACAAGATCAAGTCTCCGGGGGTATTCAAACTTTTTGATTCCGAAGACCACCAAATATGATGATACCCTTGAGCGAGACCTCATTCTTAAAATAACCATGAGAACAGTATTGAGAGATCAATTATAAAGACGTTTAAAAATATTTAATATATATTGTTGTAAAGCTTTTTTTCTGCTTTTTATTCATAATTTTACTAATAAAGCTCTCAGAATGGGAACTATAAAGATGGTTGTGATCTCATTTGTTTGTTTGATGTGTATATCTGTGTTTTGCTGTTCTCATGAGCAGGTCACTTCTGCTGCACGCATTTTGCTGAAGAACCCTGGCAACCAGGCTGCGTATGAGCACTTCGAGACCATGAAGAACCAATGGATTGACAACATTGAAAAAATGACCAGTAAAAGCTCATTCTTTTCATCAGCAGAATGCATAAAAAAAGAAGATTACCACATCAACTATTTTTTAAATCTTTATTTCAGGTCTTGTGGATGAAGCCATTGACACCAAATCCCTCTTGGATGCTTCAGAGGAGGCCATTAAGAAAGACATTGATAAATGCCGGGTGGCAATGGCTAATGTTCAGCCCCAGATGTTGGTTGCAGGGGCTACGAGCATTGCCAGGCGGGCTAACAGGGTACTTCTGGTGGCCAAGCGGGAAGTGGAAAACTCAGAGGACCCTAAATTCAGAGAACTAGTCAAAGCTGCTTCAGATGATCTTGGTAGAACCATCTCACCCATGGTAATGGCTGCTAAAGCTGTAGCAGGAAACATCCAGGATCCAGGTCTTTTTTTTAAATGTTCTGAATACATTTGTAGAAAACCTATTACTGCTGTTATTGACAAAAGTCTTTTTTCCCCCTTTTGAGCAGGTTTGCAAAAGAGCTTCCTGGACTCTGGCTACAGGATCTTGGCTGCTGTTGGGAAAGTCAGGGAAGCCTTCCAGCCTCAGGAGCCTGAATTTCCACCTCCGCCTCCAGACCTGGATCAGCTGCATGTAAGTGTTGCTACTCTACATCAATCCAGGTCTTAAAGGGACGGTTCACCCAAAAATGAAAATTAGCCCATGATTTACTCACCCACAAGTTATCCTAGGTGTATATGACATTCTTCTTTCAGACGAATACAATCTGAGTTATATTAAAAAATATCCTGGCTCTTCCAAGCTTTATAATGGCAGTGAATGGCCGTTTCTGTTTTGAAATCCATAAAAGTGCATCCATCCATCATAAAAGTGCTCCACACGGCACCAGAGGGTTAATAAAGACCTTCTGAAGCGAAGCGATGTGTTTGTGTAAGAAAAAAATTATATTTAACACGTTACAAAGTAAAATTCTAGTTTCCGGCCAAACATTTTTTAATATAACTCCGATTGTATTTGTCTGAAAGAAGAATATACACCTAGAATATACACCTAGGATGACTTGAGGGTGAGTAAATCACAGGCTAATTTAAATTTTTGGGTGAACTATCCCTTTAAAGGAACAGTTCTGTCATCATTTACTCATCCTGTGTCAATATACACCCATATGACTCTGTCAGGTCAATGATGATCAGGCTCCTCCCAAACCGCCCCTCCCTGAGGGAGAGGTTCCTCCCCCGAGACCTCCACCCCCAGAGGAGAAAGATGAAGAGTTCCCTGAGCAGAAAGCCGGCGAGATGGTGAGCGAGCCGATGATGGTGGCGGCCAGGCAACTACACGACGAGGCCCGTAAATGGTCCAGCAAAGTGAGTGGATCTACTTTATTTTAGGCACACAATCATTTCTCGTGTTTCGTTACATATGCTCTACCGTTCAAAAGTTTGGGGTCAGTAAGATTTATTTTTGAAAGAAATTATTACTTGAGCATGGATGCTTAAAATTGATCAAAAGTGACAGTAAAGACTTTTACATGGTTGGAAAAGATTTCTTTTTCAAATTAATGCTGTTCTTTGAAACATTCTATTCATAAAAAAAAGAAAAGAAAATTCAGCTTTGTCATCACAGGGATAAATTACATTTTAAAATATATTAACAGAAAAAATGACAGTTTTTACTATATTTTTGATCAAATAAATGCAGTCTTGGTGAGCATAAGAGACTTCTTTCAAAAAAAAAAAAAGCCACCGACCCCATACTTTTAAATGATAATGTACATTTAAATACAATAATAAAAACTTTAAAGAATTATAATTATAAATTAAAGGGTGAAACTCAAAAAGCCTGTCAAGGGAAAACGAGATGTGTTTGCGCTTTTTGTGTACTGCTCTTTATGATTGTGAAATGTTGCTTTTTTACAAATCTGAGTGTTTTTGTTGTCTTTAACCTGAAATGTGGAAATCTCTGCGATGATTCCAGTTTCAGGGGGAAAAAATGAACGGAAACTGTCATCTATGAAAGACGTGTTTGCATGCTTGATCTCTAACGTTTTTAACAAGTAGATTTACTCTTTTTTTTACCATAGTGATGGAGCAATACATGATTTTTCTTCGCAGCTGTACCCCAAAAGAGCGTCTGCTATGAAATGAGACAGACAGGACTACCCTATATAGATAGTCCTCAGTGATATTGCATCCACTGAGGACTATCTTCCTCAGTGGATGCAATATCAACGGGAACTAGCACGGAGCTGATACAGGCTTATTGCAAAGGCTCTTGTAGGTGATAGAAGGTGATGTAAGCAAAAATACAATCATAACTTAATAAAACCCAATCAGGTGACCATAGTGAGAGCCCACTTTGTGCGTTTGTCCTTTAGTGGATGTTTCTGTGCTTTTTCTTCTACTTCTATCATAGTTCAACAGTCCTTTATTGGCTTTGTCTTGGTCCTTGTGGAAACTATTTGTTCTTTTGCGTGTTAACATGGTCTTTCCCTGTCTGTATCTGCAGGCAGCCCCATGTTTATTGCTTGCTCAGTTATGATAATAGTCTCAATTTAATACAGTGTTAAATAAATGGATTAATAGGATGATGATATAGTGCAGATAGATACTCTGTCGTTCAAAAGTTTGGGTTAGGTATGATTGTTTTTTAAACGCTTTTAAAAGTCTTTTATATGCACCAAGACTGCATTTATTTAATCGAAAATACAGTAAAAGAAATATTGTGAAATATTATTACAATTTAAAAGAACTGTTTGTAATTTTAATATATTTTAAAATGTAATTTATTCCTGTGACGGCAGAGCTGTATTTTCAGCATTTTCATTACTCCAGTCTTCAGTGTCACATGATCCTTCAGAAATCATTCTAATATGCTGATTTGCTGCTCAAAAAACATTTCTTATTATTATCTATGAACTACTTAATATTTGAGTGGAAACGGTGATACATTGTTCAGGATTCTTAGGTCTGAACATTCAAACAGCATTTATTTGAAATAAATAATTTGAAATAGAATTTTTTCATAAAATTATAAATGTCACTTTTGATCAAGTTAATGCATCTTTGTTGAATAAAAGTAGCATTTTTTTTAAAAACCTTACTGACCCCAACTTTTGAAAGACAAATATAAAATATTCTAGTTATACTCATCTATAATATATTTTAGCAGCTATAAATAGCTTTTTTGTCTCTAAAAAATAATTACAAATCTTTATCCAGTTAAAATAAATGAAAATCCTTTTTTAAAATAATTTTTCTAATGACAAAATATTTTTAAGGACAATCTCTATAGCATAGCAACCTAATTAATATAAATAAATACAATCCAGTCATTTATGAGGTTTTTTGGTTAAAGCATAGTTCACCCAAAAATGAAAATGTTGTCATTACTTACCCTTATGTTGTTCCAAACATGTTTCTTTCCTCTGTTGAACACAAAAGAAGATATTTTTAAAGGTGACCTATAATTCAAAATTGAATTTACCTTGGTATAGTCAAATAACAAGAGTTCAGTGCATGGACATGACATAGAGTGAATCTCAAACTGGACTGTTTTTGCGTTCTCATTCAATTCACGTTTATGAAAAACACCCCTGAAAAACGGTCGGTTCTCCACACAATACCGACTGTGACGCAATAGTCAGGATCATTAATATGTACGCCTCCAAATATTTGCATAATGCCAGCCCTCAATGCCAGGCGGAACTGCGCAGCCGAAGCATGGCAGTTGCTCAGTGTGGATGTACACATGAACACAAAAGTATTTTTTAGTTCCTTCATCTGAGCCTCTGAAGAAACAATGGGTTACTTTTATTTCTCTGGAAATTTCCAAACATTTCACCGAGTGTTTCCTCAACTTGGGCCAATACAGAGCTGGCCTCGGATCGAGCTACCAAGCAACACTTTCTGATGTGTAATTGTTCAAGTTCAGACAGGTAATCTTTCTCTCAAAATCGTTCAATACTGTTTATGCATCAGTAAGTCAAGCCAGTGACTAAAATATCAGCTTCACATCGTTTCTTTTAGTAGGATGAAAATAATCGTATTTAAATTGTGAACAAATTATATACAGAAAGCGATCAAAGAACAATCTTTCCACACAGCGCGAGTTTATCTGGACACTTGCCAAACTCGTTATGAAATCAATGACGCACGTTACTGCACAACGAAGCTCTTACTGTATTTACATCATCGTGTTTGCATTGGTGAAAGCAGAGAGAGTGCAGAAACTGCTTTGCAATGATAAGATCTTCATTCTCGCGATCAACACACTGTCATCTGCTCAATGCTCATCACGGCAACATTTTATGTGATGGGAATAGATCTAAATACTTTAAAAACATCTCACGATTCGTTAATCTCGATAGCTGTTATAGTAAAAACGTATAATAGCAGTAGTAAAAGTATTCGGGAGAGAGTTTCACATGTAATGCGTAGCTATTTCATATGTAACCATGTCAGCCAATCACAGCAGTGGCCGCGGTTACACTGAATCCCACAGACACGCCCCTTCAAACAGAGTGTTCAAATCAGAGGCTAAAAGCAGGCTAGGAAAAATGCCATTTATTTCTAAATTATGATTATTTTTTATCTAAAAAACATACTAACATTATAAGGGTAACCCAGGAAACATTATAAAAAAATAAAAAAAAACATTCTAGGGCACCTTTAAGAATGTTGGTAACCAGAGAGACAGTTGATGGAACTATGAAAAAAATACTATGGAAGTCAATGGCTGCCGTCAACATTCTTCAAAATATCTTCTTTTGTATTCAACAGAACAATGAAACTCATACAGGTTTGGAACAATTTAAAGGGCAAGTAATGACAAAATTGTAATTTTTTTAACTATCCCTTTAAGTACCATTCAAAACCATTTAATCTCCACAAGCTGTCAAAGTTGCTTTTTTATAGAGAACCCATCATGTCTTGTTGCGGGCTTTGCTTGTTTGCTCTCTGTCCAAATTAACCACCCAGTTTACCTCAATTTTACATGAGAATAGATCAGTTACACAATTTTCAGTTGACATTATAAACCCTGTGGCAGGCGTTACCCAGCAGGACTCAGAAGGCTTCCTCTCCCAGCCATCCTAAACCCAGCCGTTCTCACAACCATGTCCTGGGAATCTTCATCCAGTGCCTCTCGTACTAACTCTGTCCTTCTTTCTCCATGCTGGTTCCCCCCTCCCCCTCCCCCTCCCCAGCCTGAGGTGACAGACGAGGGTTTTGAGCCCGCTGAGGCGGAGGTAGATATAGACGATGAGGATGAATTCACAGACAACGAGGATGATTATGAGCCAGAGCTGCTCTTAATGTCTTCCAATCAGCCAGTTAACCAGCCCATTCTGGCCGCTGCGCAGTCTTTACATCAGGAGGCTCGCAAGTGGTCCAGTAAGGTACTCCTTTTTCCCGGCCTCGGCAGGCCGCAGCATCCCTTCTGCATCCAGATATTATTGTGGGAATGCTGAAACCAGATAGCTGCTGCTGCTGCTGTTATTGCTTCTCACTAGGGTCCGGTGTGTTTTTTTTGCTGCTGGGGTGGCCAATGACACCGACTGGAATGGCAAGTTTGTTGTGCATTTTTTGGACAAACTGATACTGGCTTCACAAGTCACTTCCCTGCTCATTTCTGATAGTGTCATACCTCTGTGCCTCGGTTTTGAAAAAGGAACCATTCACTCAACCGCTGCTGCCAAACACTCTGCTTTTGCCAACCTGTGAAGCCATGGATGACAGTTTCCCAATGACTTCAGAATTACACGTTGAAGTCATGTCACATGCCTGTTTGTTGTGCACTCTTTTTCTAACCATTTAAATGAACCATGTCAAAGCCATCATAGGATGATACATTTTAACACACTGAAACTGCATGCCTGTGTACAAACATAATTGCCTCACTAAAGGAAAATGCAGAAGTCTACTCAAGGTATGCTGATCAAATGTAGGTATTTTTTGACACGTAATTTTAACTGGAAATTCATTAGAAGGGCACCATATTGTTGACAAGTTGGAGAAGAAAAACGATCAGTTTCTAAGGAGCCACTAAAGTTACGTTTGCAGAAAAAAAAAATCCTGAGATGTTCTCATGCACACCAAGAAATGTCCCCCATATGCGTGAAACGTATACTGTTCGTGTGTAAAAAAACAACAACTTTGTGCGCATGTAGTTGTTTCTCATGCGCACGTGTATCCTGTAAATATGAATTTAGTGCCTCCAATAGTTCCTGCTGTGCGTATGGGAATAGTAGATATGTAGAAACGTTTCTCGTTTCTCATGTGCGCAAAAAGTCAGGTTTGTTAGTGGCTCTGTGATTCTCTGTTGTCTCAAATTCTCGCGACATTTTTATGCAAGTTTATTTTTACATAGCGTGATATATCCTATATAGGAAGAATCATATAATCAGTCTTTGTCTCAAGAGACCTGATGAACCTACAGTATACTAATTTTAAAAAGGCATGATTGATGTGTACTGGATGAACATGAAGTGATTCTAAACACTTATTTGTTTGTCTAACTGACTTTTTAAAAGGTTATAGATTGAAGTTAGATATATAATTATAGCTATACAGTCATATATACAACTATACATAAACAATCACAGATTAACAACAGGCCAAAATGATCTATATGATCAATCTGTGACTAGGAACAGGATTATTTCATTTTTTAAGTTATTTTTGAAATCAAACCCTCATTTAAAGTCCTTGTGCTCTTAGGGTAATGACATCATTGGAGCAGCGAAGCGCATGGCGTTGCTCATGGCAGAAATGTCTCGTCTTGTGCGTGGAGGCAGCGGAAATAAACGTGCCCTTATTCAGTGTGCCAAGGACATTGCCAAGGCCTCCGATGAGGTCACGCGGCTGGCTAAAGAGGTAGCCAAGCAATGCACCGACAAACGGATTCGCACAAACCTATTGCAGGTCAGTGGCGCAAATATCATCCATCAGTAGTGCAGCTCTCTTCCAGCACAGATAGAGGAGTATTTACAAATCGGGTTATTTTGTCACTCCAAAAAAACTCCGGAATGTTTATTCCAGGTTTGTGAGCGTATCCCAACTATCAGCACTCAGCTGAAGATCCTGTCCACAGTCAAGGCCACTATGCTGGGACGTACAAACATCAGTGAGGAAGAATCTGAGCAGGTGAGGGCAAGGCACATTCACAGCCATCTTAAATGAAGGATTTATTGCATTTGATTAGAACTAAATTGATTGTGTTTGTCTTTAAGGCCACTGAGATGCTCGTGCACAATGCGCAGAACCTCATGCAGTCCGTGAAGGAGACGGTCAGAGAAGCAGAAGCCGCCTCCATCAAGATCCGCACAGACGCAGGGTTCACTCTTCGCTGGGTCCGAAAGACCCCCTGGTACCAGTAAACTGAGGACTACGGTAGTTGTTTTCCATCAGCAATTCGCATCCTTGCCTTTTCAAACGTCCGAAGTCTGATAAAGGGTGGCAGGAGGAAAGGACCTGATCCTTAAACTTTTGGACATTACCGTTCGGTTCTAGCTTCGGGGTGACTGGTATTACTTATTTTTATTTACGTGCTGGTATTTGTACTTAGTACATTTATTTTGTCTTTACGGAGGCTATTTTTGTCCTGAAAGTTTGCTGTAGTTACCTTTATCTCACACTACAGAGGTATAGTGTAGGAGTACACAGGAAGCATATTTTTTAAATATATATTTTTTGGTATGTTGGGTTTCCAAATTCCAGGTATATATATTTTTTGCATGAAGAAGTTTTCTATTTTATATTGGAGAAATATGGCATGACGACTTAAATGCCTCTCTCGAACAATGTTGGAGTTCATGATGAAATTTACTTTAAATTAGTTTTTGACAATTAAATTTTCTTACTGAAATTGTATATATTTATACTTATATTTCATCAGATCATTATCACAGATCATGTTTTAATCACAAATATACACAAATAGTGTTGTAAGCTTTACTTTGATAAAAAAAAAAAGGTTTTACGACTGGCTGTTTTAAGTTATAATTCACTATAATGAACTTTTCTTAGCTTATATTTATAATGAACTTTTGCTTAGCTATTTATTAAACAGGATAATGCCTTTTTTGATAGGCCATGCCATTACAGAGATGCATGGCACGGTTGATGCCAAAGATTTTGTTTTTTTACACTTACACTACAATATCCACAAGCTATCAAATAAATGCGTATATCATGTAAAACTACAGACATGTGAAAGCTTGGATAGTTAACACTGAAATTATTTTTCCTTTCACACTCAGTGAATATTTTTTGAGATTTCTTATACTCCTTTAAAAAAAAGCACAATCCTCACAACAGTTGAACTGTTCTCTCTTAGCTTAGTCTTTTTAGTTTACAGCTGTAATTTTGACATTTCTCTCAGTGTGATTGTTTTCAATTGTAGTATATTGATGATGGAGCTGTCTTAACGTATCTTCCATTTGGATAGAATGGGTAACAAGACCCAGGTGGCTTGTTGATACCTATGTGTTTGGACTCTGGAGATGCTTAAATGGATAGTTTACCCCAAAATGAAAATACTTTCATCATTTACTCACCCTCATTTCGTTCTAAAACAGAAAATATTTTCAAAAACATGTTTGTCCATGCAAATGAAAGTCAGTGGGGTCCAAACATGTTGTTTTGGACCCCATTGACTTTCAATGTATGGACAAAAACAGCCATTTTTCAAAATCCACAGAAGAAAGTAAGTCATACAGGTTTGGAATGACATTTGGGTAAATATTTATAATAATTAATAAGTATAATTTGTGATATATCATTTTAGTGACTGTACAAAATCAAATGTGTGGAAATCGTGCAATTCTAGTAATGGAAAGCTCAGTAGCACAAGCTCATCACCTTTAGCTGAAGATGCACTCTGAATTCTCTGTACAATTACAGTAAAACTTTCATGATGCTTCACTGCCTTGCATTCACTTAAAACTCTATCTATAACATATACATTTGAAAGATTACCTTTTCAGCCCCCAATATAGTGCCTCGTTGTGAAAGTTTACAGGGCTGTATTTGTTTGTGTAATAGCATGTATTGGGTTCTGATGACATTTAACATTTCTTTCTAAAGAGTGAAAATACTGCTTTGTGAATGTATATATGACACTAATGTTGACTTTTTGTCAGTGTCACATAGAAAAAAAAAATCTTATGTGCCTCAGATTGATAAAAATGTTCTGTTAGGTGTTTTGTTTGAAAATAAAGGGACAAGTTCCTGTCTCATTTGTTAAAGGTACTGCACTTCAATAACTACACAAAGATTAAAGGACTCATTAGATATTAACTTCTAAGACATTCATTGTTAATACTTTCAAGCATGTTCACATGAAGCTAAAACAAACAATTATTAGTCAGACACACAAAAAATACCACATTTTGTTTGGAAACTTTATAAATCTAAAGGCTTTTGGTTTAAATACATATCTTAAAATGCAGTTAAGCAGTTCCCTTGACATTTTATAAAATAATGCAATTGTGTGTTCTTTGTGATTGTGCAAATCCTCAAAGCTACATTAAGGTGGCAGACCTGTATATCTAGTGTCACTGCAGGTCAGTGCAACAGAACAGATTTTATGACGTGTCTTCATAATGGCTCCATAGTGCTTGTATTTGGCAAACTTTAAGTGTTAGAGTAAATTCTCTTTTCAGCAGGTACAAGTGCCATTCACCTCTGAGCAGTGATGTGCTTGTGTAGTAGAGAAGTAGAGCATTATTGTAAATATGTCCTGCTATAAGCATGGCTGTGCTTTTAAAGAAATGCCATTTTTTCCATTCAAAAGCCACTGGTCTAAAAGAAATTACTTGGCATATAATGCTTATGTAAAATAAGGCCTGTGTGCAGAAACTCTCAGGTATTGTTTTGTACCAATATCAAAGATTGTAGCGCAGTAATGTGATTAGAAAATAGCTTGTATCACTCATTCTCAAATTCCACTACCTAAAACAGATGGTTTCTGTGCTAACATGTTGCACCTTTAACAACATGTGAATGCGGTGTTACTGTAACAAGAAGAATCCTTGTTTTTGATGGCACAAAGCTAAGCGTTTCTGGCAGAGATGTACTGTACCTTAAATCCAACATTATACAGTTTTAATACATTAATGGAATGTTTGTTATTGACATGAAGATAAAGATTCATAAAGAAAAAAACTCCCAATTCTCTGCAGTGGAAAGATGTTCACTTCTTGCAAATTACCAGTTACTTCCCACAAAACAAAGAAAGATAAATATTACAATAATAAATGTAAATTCGATGTTATAAAGAAATAAGAGAGATTGTGCACAGTTGTAATTCTGTATGATTTGTCACTTAGAAAATGGCACCTCTATTAAACTTTTGGCATATCATTGTGATACTCTGCAGACGGCCTCATGTCCTGACCTGGAACTTCCCAGCTTTGGTTACATATTTCACACCCTTGAATGGTTTATATTTCTCTCCGTACATGTCTAGACGATTCACTTTCAATCCTGTGAAGAAGAAGAAGAGAGAGTGAAGTAAGCATAACTGTATTTATATAGCACATTTTAAAAGCGCTTTATTTTTTTATTAGGATTTTGAAAGTTTTACATCAACTATTAAGATGTAAAACGAATAAGTAAGATTATGCACTATTTCAACACTGTAAAAAAAAGTTGTTTCAACTTAAAGTGAGTGTTTGTGCTGCCTTAAGATTTTAAGTTTAGTCAACTTAAAATGTGAATTTGTACTAAGTGACAACTTAGATATTTGAGGTGACTAAAGTTAAAATGAAGGCAGCACAATTTTTTTTTACAGTGTAGGTCATTAATAAGTCAATTTGTGACACTGACATGTGAACTCATTTGTACAAAAGATCAGATTAAGAATAACAGAATTATTATGAAATATTATAACAATTTAAAATAACAGCATTTTATTTGAATATATATATTTTAAAATTGAATTTATGGCTAAGCTGAATTGAAGAATAGAAAGTTCAAAAGAACAGCATTTATTTAAAATCATTTCAATACAATCAATCCCTGCTAAATAAAATTATTTATTTTATTTTATTTTTTTATCTAAATGACCCCAAATCTTTGAATGTTAGTGTATGTCAGCGTACACATACAAACATGTGGAAGGAGATGACAATAACTAGGGTTATGGCAGCTTATTGTGCTTGTTAATTACAACAGTGCTTTATCACAAGGTCCTGCTGGCAATGAATAACGACTAAAGCTGATAAAAGGGCCCTAGCCTACCTGAGATGGCCAACTGCTGGATTTTCAGGTCAATGTTCAGACTTGGGTTCTCCTCTGGTTTAGGAGCTCCAGACTGCAGACTTAGACTTCCTTTCAGATTGGGAAGCTTCTGGGGATTTAGTTTCCCTATATCCCACAACAAAATCTACAAGACAACAGTAAGAATTATTAGTCACCATCTGAGCAAAATGTGTAGTGTCACATAGTGTTACTAGAATGACTCTGCTAACTACAATGAATAACAATCAATGAAACTGGAAAAGAAAGAGTTTGTGACCTTTGTGACTGGGTCATAGTTGTAGGTTCCCTGAGTCGCATTGAGGTTGGCACTGAGAACCACTTTGGGCATGTGTACGGTCACTAGCAAACACTCCACAGTCTTTCCCATGGTCTGCTTAGGACCCACAGTGATGTCCAGTCTTCCTGAAGATCCAGTCTCAAAGAAACTAATGTTCTGCTTCACATATACCGGGATTGCTACAAGGCTGCAAAAACAGATAAAAAGCTAAATATCTTTAATAAATGTTTTGGTTTTATTCCTTAACCATTTTCTCCACATACTTCTGCGCACTGATGTGATATGACATGAGCTGAAAGTTTCCATCGGGGGGAATGAAGGAGATAACTCTCTCACTTTCCCATCTTTTATAACGGACACAGGGATGAAAGCTCACGTCGTCCAGGAGTCTGGGGTTCTGTTGATGGAGATCAAACGAGAGCATAAAAGCTGCATGCATAATCATTTTTAAATGAGCAAAATGCTGTTTAAAATGGAGTGTAATGCACTCCATGTAATTTTGTTCATAACCAAGATACTCAATCCTCAGGTTAACTAAAGGTGCCCAGTGGCGACACTTGTACTCTGACCTTTTGTTGGATAAGTGTTAAATAAGAGCACAGATATGGACAAGATATTTCAAAGAAGCAGTGAAAATTAAATATAGTTGACAACACAGGAAAATAAATTGTATACAAAAAGAAAGAAAGCCAGATGATCAAATGCTCTCACCATAAATGAGAGAGTAAGGTCAGGCATTCCAGACAGTTTGACACAAGCATCAATAACTCCCTGGATTTCTGCAAAAACTGTAGTTCCTGAAACAGAAGAGTACACCAGCATTTACCTTGAAAGGAAATACAACTCTTGCATTCACATGCACAATCTAACTGGAAAATCGACGGAAATTCAGACTCACCAGACTTATCCAGGATGGCATCGATTTCTTCCACCACATCAAAATAAGCTTCATTATTGGTATATTTAACACCTGCTCTTCTCCATGGGATAGTTGAGAGCTGACCAGTAGGGAGGGTCTCACCAACATTACTGCTGCCTGAAGATTGCGAATCAGTTAGATTCTCAACATCATATGGCCATGAATAAAATACTCAGGCTTATGGCCGTCTTACCTGTGATGGTGTTGACCATCGACCGCAGAATTGTGGGAGGTCTGATAAGTTCCTTCAATATGTTGGATTCTGTGGCGAGGGGGAAGCCGTTATCCAACATTTCCTCCAAGAGCTCATAGACTATGACCACATTGTCCTTGATAGTGGTCTCAGAACATTCTCCAAAATAATCCTACATAAATGATTATAGAAGAAACATTAATTAACACACATTCTATTCAAGACATCAACAATAAAATGTACATTAAATTTGGGGTTGATATGATTTAAAAAATAAATAAATAAACAACTGTTTTCTAATTGAAAATATTTTAAAATGTAATTTCTTCCTGTGATGGCAAAGCTGAATTTTCAGCATCATTACTCCAGTCTTTAGTGTCACATGATCCTTCAGAAATCATTCTAATGTGCTGATTTGCTGCTCAAAAACATTTCTGATTATTATCAATGTTGAAAATTTTTATTTTATTATTATTTGATGAAAGTTCAAAAGAAAAGCATTTATTTTGAAACAGAAAACTTTTGTAACATTGTACATTTTTTATTGTCACTTTTGATCCAATTTACTGTGTCCTTGCTGAATAAAAGTATTAAGAAATCTTACTGACCCCAAACTTTTGAACAGTAATCTATGTTTGGATATATTTTCTACAACGCACTGTCAGTCGTTTTTTTAATGTACCTGAAATGTCTCTGCGATTCGATGCAAAAATTCTATTACAAAAAGCGGAGGCACTTCTGTTTGGATGACAGAAACAAAGAAGATCTTCTCACGGTAGATGTTTATGAGATAGTGGTGAGGGGTGCGGATGACAGGAGGCACATTGTCAGGTTCCACCGCTTTCTCTCGTGCTTCGAAAAAATAATCGCAGACAGAGCGGCTTATGACACTCTTCCAGTGTTTCTCCAGGAATAAATCTCCACCATTGTTTATCAGGAACAAGCTGTGGATCATGGTGAGGTCTGGAAAGTCAATGGAATGAAAACAGGACGATGAGAATGGACGTTGTGGTGCTAACAGGTATAAGCTACTGTTATTCCAGTGCAGAGAATATATGCATGGAATTTACACATTTTAAGTTTTTTTTTAATAACACTGCCTATACAAACTAAATATAAAAGGGAGTGGCTGATTCATGAGAACCTCATGCTACTTAAACTCGCCCACCAATTTATTTCCCTACTTATTGTTTTAAACCATGTCTTTGTAATCTACTTTACGGTAATTATCCAAACTAAATACTATATTAAGAAATAAAACTAAATTTCTATAACTTAAAGTAATATGGATAGTGGCTTTAAAGCAGATTACAAAGACATGGCTAAGATAGATCTAGAGAAAGAGAAAGTATAATTGCCAATTTAAGGTAAATATACCATAGAAGACTTGTCAAAATACATGTGTAAAGAAGATGAAAGATGCTCTGTTTTTATATATATAATATTTATGTAAAATTAAAGAGTGTTACTCCTTTTATCATCACTTAAATAATAAAAATAAACATTTTAAACAAGAAATTCTATAGTCCGCTACTAGTTCTAACTGCACTTGACTGAACAACATTTCATGTCCTTAGCTCTGGGCATGCATCCACTTTATCATGATAGACAATATGACAAACATGTTTGTGACATATACCAATAAATGTCCAGTTTTAAAACTTCAGAACATATCATTTTTTTAAACTATCATAACTTATATTTTCGCGGGATGCAAACAAACATACTAAATAAATAATGTCGGACTGTGTGATTGTTAGTAAAACAAAACAAAACAAAAACACTAAAAACAAAAGCATAAAAGTTATGTTTCCTGAAAGAAGAGTTGGATATCCTGTGTCTACCGATTACGTGAGGCTATAATGTTCATGCGAGCAAATACAGGATGTCAGCTTTTCATAACTACACATATCTGAACTTATTTTTTAAACAAACCTTACCTAAAAACAGCTGTCTTGATAAATGTTTTCAGGCAATATCCTCCGCTTGTAAATGTGGCAGATGTGTCACTCCTACTTCCCCGTTCATGCGTCCAAATATACGCCTGGCGCGAATTTAAATAAAAGTTTATTTAAAACACAAACAGTCGATCCTTGTGAAACAAAGCGTAATTTCAAATATGTTAAACGATATTTCTGCAAAGTATGTGATTGATTAAAGTTGATAATAGTTCAGAAATGTAATTGTTGCTCCGGCAATACACAGGGACAGCTATATGTCTGTGGTAAATTTTCCCTCCACGGCTAGATTCATTCCGAATCGGTTCTTTTGAGCAGCTCTTTTAAAAAAACGGTTAAATGGGCAGATTCACTGGTTCTTTGAATCATCAAGTGACATTTAGGAACATATTGCTTTTGATTACGTTTTTTTTTAATTAAAGTTTATTAAAATGGGAGTTTATTGTAATTTCATGTTTCCCAGTTCAGTTCACTGCGATGCTTTATCCAGTTTAGAAACTTGCACATTTAAATGCCATACAAATGTCATACAAAGACTTAAATTTGCACTTTAAAAATATATATATATATATAATTTCTGCTATTAAAGTAACGCACAGACAGCAAATTTTTGGTACACTTGCTATATTTTTACTGACTCACTGAACCGAGAATCGAATGTTTTTATTAGCAGCTCACTCACCTGTCCCAGAGCCGTTGAACTGGCCTGTCCCATCCTCAGCTCATAACGAATCAGAAATAATCGAAAGAGACGATTATCGATCGAATGAGTTCACGAGAAGAACCGCTTGCTCCGTTTCATTGGGATTCGTGAACGAACAGTTATGAATCAATTCATCAAAATGATTCGATTCAAAAGAACTATCCGCTCTCCCAGATGCTTCATTCGCTCTACAAGGTGCCTGGAGCGTATTTGATAGAGCACTATCACACTGCATCATGGCGTCCGATGAACCTAAAGCCAAAAGGATTAAACTTGAGGAAAAACAGCTCAGGTACAGTAAACACAAGCATCGATTTATGAGTGTAGATTGATTGAGTCAATCGTGTGATGAGTATTTTTTTTAAACATGGGGCGGTTTCTTTGCGGGCACTTTTGGGTCAGAGGTCTAACGTTACTTAGTAGTCTGCGTGTCACTTAAAGTCCATGTGCTTCCAACTCAGTGTTTTCTCTCAAAAACATTGGTATTGCACTGGAAAATAATGTATCGGGCATTTTCCAATTATGAGCAATGGGGATGAGTGCAGCTAATGCATTTGCTGCCAAGCTTAATTGGCAAATTCGTGATCATGTGGCATTTTTAGGAGTGAACATATCCAAATCGTTCCACAATCAATTTACTTATACATGAACGAATGATGTGCCCGTGGTGTTGTGTATGTATGATGAATGCGATTCCGTTGTCCTTGAGTGTTTTATATCGACCACTGGAGTTCGTCCCCTCGGCTCCACGTGTCTTTTGTTATGCTGTCGGGCTCTGCTGCACAAAAAGTCTTCCCGCCGTGCATTGTCACAGCATTAATAAACATGCATGCATATATAACATCAGGACATGTATCTATACACAATGGAAGTGTCCGTTCAGTTTATGCTGCATGCACACATATTGTTTGCAAGTTGTGTAAAGTAAGGTCATTTTCCGGTTGGTATTTCTGTCCCAAAACTATTGACACCAGGCTTTCCAGATATGCGTTGGCTTTAGCCGTGCTGTCATTATTAAGTTCAGACATGATGACAAATGTGTCATAGGTTATTCAGGTAACGTTAATGGCTAGTAAGATAAGATGATATAGTGTGCAAGCGTTGTCATGTCAGCTCACGGCTGGATATTGGTCATTATTGTTTGTATTTACATAATGGATGGTAAATGTAGTATTTGCACATCATATTTACATTTAGGTTTATTTTTGTACACTTGGCGCCTAAATATAAAGCCCAAAAAGCGTAAACATGGGGACAACTAGCGCTCCTCCTGTTTCTCAGCCAATCAGCAGTCGATGCTGCTTTTCGTTTACATCCAATCAGCAGCGAGGTGCTCTTGAGCCTGAGTACTAACTTTGCAGAGCGCTGTCTGGCTGTCATAAACTCCAGTGAGCATCACCTCAAGCCACCCTCATGCCTACAGCCAGGTAGGGCTAAACATGTATTCAGCTATTTGAGTATTTTTATACGTTTTCTAATCTTGTCATTCTCCATATTTTTATTTATTTATTTATACACTCAAATAACGTGCGTTTTTGAGATAATTTGGTGTTTTGTATGTTTTGGCTAATGGAAGCTCATAAAATGTGGTGTTATATATATATATATATATATATATATATATATATTTTTTTACATAGTTTGCTTATTTACCTGGTTGCTGAGGTGGCTGTTTTTAACTTCTTTTAGCTGTACAGAAATTTAGTCACTACAGAAATCATTTTATTCACTTCAACTTCTTTTTACGTTGAGTAGCACCCCCTAAACATCTGTTTTAGAGCACACGAAGCTTCACAAACTCCCACACTTACACATCTGTGCTTCTTCACAAGTTTCCCATAACTTGTACTAAATTGTGTTTCTTTGAATGTAGGAGCGCGAATGGAGATCATTTAGAAGAATTTTGTTGCCTGTTCATTCATGTTAATAGAAAATTCATGTCTCTTTGTTTCTAGTATTTGTATGTGCTCCCTTATTTCTTTACATTTAATAATATAGAATAATATATTGTCTTTTATCATTACACATTGCAAAATGAGCAATTTTATCACGTCTGTCAACAATAGATTAGAGGCAACGTTTTAATCTTAGGGTCTCCACCACATGTCTCATCCAGGGTGATTGAACGGTCAGTCACTCACTCAGCCACGTGCTTGAATGCTTGGTCTGTTGGATGTAGTGACTATCTAATGCTTTTTAAAAATGTTTTAGTGCCTATTTTAAATCATTTATGACATGACTTTCTGTCTGGCTAAAAAAAATACTGAGTAATTTTGCAACTTATAGACAAAACATCATCTTGCTTGAAGCTCAAAGATGGATTTCTGGAAAACCATATTTGACTGAGAACTTTTTTTTTGTTTGTTTAAATATGTAATGTTCTGCAGTTTATGCTTGACTGAATCTTCCATGTTTTTGTGCTGAATTCATGTTGGGTTCAGTTTTACCCCTCAAGAGAAAAATACTTGAGTTATGCACATTTTTTTGTGAATTTTTGGGGAAAATGCTGAAAATAGCCTGCATTTTCAATAGTGAATCATAAAAGGCCTATGTTTTTAGTGTAACTATGTTTGCGTCTGTTGTCAGGATTACTTGATTGTTTTCTAAATGTTTTAACTGGACGCACATGTCTTTCTTTTGCAGTCAAAATGCCCTTTTCGGGATGGGAAACCCCCTGCTTGACATCTGCGCTGTGGTGGACAAAGACTTTCTAGACAAGTAAGTCACATGGTTCTTTAAAATCAATTTGGATTTGAATCTGTTTGATAACATGGCTAGACAATGCTGTACATTTGCATTGTTGTGTCAGTGTTTTGTCATGTCTTGTTTTTTATTTGCTTTTAATAAAGATGTCACCCGGTGGTTAATCTTTGGTCAGCCCATGTTAGAATTGAACTGACGTTCGAAGCCCAGTAGCTTTTGGGTTCATCATAGTATTATTTTTCTTTCTTTTTTGCAAAGAAATTAAACCTACTGTGTTTATTAGGCCAAGGGTCCTTGTTCTTTAAGGAGGAAAGTGGCACAGACACTGCGCCTGAGAGGAAATCTCCTGTTTGACACATTCTAATACTAGTCATAAAACAATACCCCTCTGCCCACTCACTCCCTCCATTACATAACCTCAAACACACTGGCAGTGCCCATCTTGCCATTAATGCCTTGTGTTACATGACTGTCATTGTCTTGTCTTACACTTAGAACACTAATGTCTACGGCAGATCACCTTCTGAAAGTAACTTGGCGCTTCCAATAACAATTGTATCATTAGATCGTTACACCACCAGGTGGTGACAAGTCACTGTTAAAAATGTATTTTTCATTGAATCATTTTGGATATCTGTTCAAAAACGCTGATTCATCCACTAATGAAGCAAGTGCAGTATTTATGAGTGAGTCATTGAATCTTTCTTTCAAACCCTTTTTAAAATCCTTTTAGATTAATTAAACATTTTAAATGGACTGCAGCAATTAAAATTTTGCCAGAACCTGTTATTTTTTACTATTACGGCTCAACTGCAACCTTTTGTCATACTTTCAACTGTTTTATCTTATTTAATCATGATTTTGTATGTCAATTTCGACATTATCAACTGACCAAAATTGAAGCTATTTGTCCTAGTAGCTGCCCTAGTTTGAATGTGCTGAAACACTGAGAATTGAGAGCTGTGAGCCTGTGACATAATGAAACATTTATGAATACCAAATAAATTGTGGTATTTTCCTCACACAAAGCTATTTTATGGCTTCAAAAGACTTTGTGCAAAGTCATACGGACTACATTTATGTTGATTTTGTACTTTTTTGAGGTTAACAGCCATCCTAGTACCTCTAGTAAATTGTATTTTGCTTAGTTGTCTGTTCAGAATCATGGAAGAATCATGATCTCTGTTTGAAACAAAAATAATCCTAAACCTCAATTTAACAAGAACCGTGCAATACTACATTATGCGAAAAAGCTATGAGGCGATCATATTTAAATTCTCATATGCTGGACGTTATATAATTTACCTAGACATTGTCTATAAATATAGAGGATTTTTAAATGGTCAAACTACAGTTCGTTGTATCCTAACAGGCAACACTTTTGCAAACAGGTTGGGTAATAATCCTAAAACTGCTGTTTCAGACAGAACAGCTGGACCTTTGGCAGACTTTGACTGTAATGATTTCCATTTGATTTATTCCAAGTGTAGAGCAGTTTGTTTAGTTGCATGACCTGATGTTTGCAGGGCAGAGTCAAAGAATAGATTACTAAGATGCTGCCTATTTAAGGATTAAAAATTGGTCCAGCACATGATTGACCAAACACCAAATATAAAAAAGACTTTCAAGGGAATAGAAAATTGTTTTAGCGACTTGAGCAATTTGATTGGTCTATGAGAAACTGAAATAAAATTGCTCCATCAGGACAACTAAATCTCAGTAATGCCACTTGGTCACTTATTATGTTCTCTTAAATATATTTTCTGCTGTCAAATTAAGGTTTGACTATATCTGGTTAATTTGTCAACCTTTCTTTTCATGCTACCAACCAAGATCCCACAAGTTTACGTGCATACCCTACCCTTTAAAAATTAAACGTCTGTAAGATTTTTAAAATGTTTTAAAAGAAATCTTGTACGCTCACCTAGGCTGCATTTATTTGATAAAAAATACAGTAACAACAGTAAGACTGAAATATTATTACAATTTAAGATAACTGTTTTATATTTTATTTAGGGCTGTCAAACGATTAATCGCATCCAAAATAAAAGTTTGTTTACATAATATGTGTGTGTACTGTGTATAATTATTTTGTATATAAATGCACACATGTATATATTTAAGAAAAATATGTTATTTATATATAAAATGTTTATATTTTTATAAAAATATACATTATATATAGGCTACATTCAGTCTATATACAGTATATACATGCAAATATTTCTTAAATACACATGCATGTGTGGGTATTTATGTATTAAAAATAATTATACAGAGTACACACACATATATTATGTAAACAGAAACTTTTATTTTGGATGCGATTAATCGTGATTAATCGTTTGACAGCCCAAATTTTATTATATTTTTAAATGTAATTTATTCCTGTGATGGCAAAGCTGAAATTTCAGCATCATTACTCCAGTCTTTAGTGTCACATGATCCTTCAGAAATCATTCTGATATGCTGATTTACTGCTCAATAAACTTTTCTTATTATCATCAATGTTGAAAACAGTTGTGCTGCTTTTTTTTTTGCGAAAACCATGATACAGGATCTTTGATTCATCTTTGATTCAAAGTTCAAAAACGGCATTTATTTGAAGTAGAAATCTTTTGTAACTTTGTAAAAGCATTTACTTGTGAAAATCATCTTTGATCCACTTAATGAGTCCTTGCTAAATAAAACATTAATTTCTTAAAGAAGAAAAAACTAAAGAAGAAAGGCACTCTGGGACAAGTCCTTCCTAGTCATGTGATCTCAATAAGGCCTCCAGTAGTTGTGATGAGTCAGTGTCTTGTTCCATAATCCTTTTCAGATGTAAAATTGCACCTTATTAGATTAACTGTTTTGACCATTTGTACCACAAACACAGACTTCAGAGAGCCGTCTAATGATTTTCATTTTTAAATGCACACCAAGTTCTATTTCTTCTATTACGAATGACTCATAATTGACCATGTTTTGTAAATGCAGTTCTTGGATAGAATCAGACACAGAGTTAAGTTTAAAATGAAGCAGGCACATAAATGGACTAATTTAATGATGTTTTAAGTTGATGAGGTGATTATGGCTTAAAGAAATAAGCTTTATTTTGGCTTAGGCCTAAGACCTTCACCTACAGGCTTCTTAGTAAAATAAGCTGTCACATGTGCTTATCTTTCTCATGGGCGGACAGATCTGTTCTGTGTAGAATTGTTCATTGACGATATCGGTTTGAGAGAAATTTCAAGATGTTTAGCTGTTCATTGTGAAAAGTGAAAACAAAACATGACAAATTCAAAATAGGTAATATTTTGACTATGAGTATGCCACTAATGTCACTGAATGTAATTTAATCAGAATTTTTAACCTAGAAAAATTAAAGCTAGCGTATTTCTTTTCCTGTTCTTGATGAGTAAATCTGCAGTTACAAAAATGCATTTTCTTTGTGTTTCTCACAGGTATGGACTTAAGACAAATGACCAGATTTTAGCAGAGGAGAAACACAAGGAAATGTAAGTGTCTTTTATCTGGGTTATACTGTTTGTTTTTTTCAGTACAGGCAAGTGGGTCTCATTCAGGGCCGGATTAACCATTAGGGCAACTGGGCACTTGCCCAGGGGCCCACGACATCTAAGGGGCCCTGGGCACCAGGGGCGGAGTGGCAATCGGGAGAGTCGGGAGTTTCCCCGGTGGGCCGGTAGTGTTTCGAGGCCGCGAGGGCCGGTCTGATAAAATGTATTCATTGCAAGTCTGCCATGGGCACTTGTGGCCCAAGCGAGGGGAAGAAAAAAAAATTTTTAGATAACGGAGCGTATATTTGCACTAAGTGCCTGTCTTTAGCAAAAAGACGCCCGTCACGGAATAGCTACAGTGGCGTAGGTCGTAGCGCGTGAAATGCTTGAAAGCAGCTTTTGAAACGCTCGACCCGAGTTCGAATCCGCGTTTTGCCGAACTCTCTCTTCTCCCTTTTCCCAACACATATGAGATGTAAAATGTATAACCTAACATAAAGGTCTCTAGCGTTATATTTTGCCAACGAACTAAAATCGAAACCATGATATGGCTTTGTGCCTTTATAAAACAGCACAAGACTTTAAGAATAGGCATTTTGTTTGTGCTGAGTGATTGAAAGAAAAGTGCGCTCTTTGCTCACGCGATCAGCATGGTGATCTGGTGTTTTCTACAAAATAAAAGCTCAAGGGTTTATTTCTTGCAAGTGAAGAAATTAGGACAAAAGTATTTTAATTTTCCTGTATTATAGTGTAATGTAGACTAAAATAAACTTTTGAAATATTCATTTTCATTTACATAGTACATTTATAGGCTATGTGGATTTTACGTCATAGGAATAATTATATAAATCATTATTAGATTATTATAATAATTGTTTGCCATCCTAAAACACCATTGATAATGTAATGTAGACTGAGACTCTCATAACTAAAAAGATGTTTGAGCCTTCTTTAATGTCCAGGTACAAATCAATGCTTTTTCTGTGTTCAACGAGCAGTTCATGGGTTGAAGCTCTTAATTTTGAGCTCTCAAAGAGCACCAGATTGATACATTTAACCTTAAAATGTACAAAATTTTCTTGCGGGGGAGCATGCCCCCCAACCCCCCTAGAGGCACAGAGGTCCACCAAACATAGTTTTACAAAATTCTATGGGAAAGAACGACCATTTATGAACTTTACTCCAGCATAGTACAACAAAGTTCCTTTTAAAGGGATACTCCACTTTTTTTTACAACTCAAGAAACTTTACTGCCGTACCATGAGTGCAGCAGGCAGGCACTTAGTCCCGGTCACGTTGGAAGTTACCGAGCTGGGGACTATTTTCAGGCGCTGCGTCATATCATTACGCCTGCTGCACTCATGGTACGTACGGCAGTAAAGTTTCTTGATTACTACGCAGGAATGAGAGTATAGTTCCTAGCCATATCAGCCTAGAAAATCGCAACTTTACATTTTCCGTCGGTCTTAGTGCACGATGTAACTACAGAAGAGTCAAGTTTTAAATAGGAAAAATAGCTAAACTCTTTGGTCATTTTTTTTTGAGAAATGCTAATGGTCTTGTCCACTTCAATGATGTATGCTAAGCTATGCTCAAAGTGGCACCGCCAGAACTGGAGATCGGCTGAATGGATTCAAAAACGGTAAAACTCAACAGTTTAACTCTGGGGGAGTTGCAAAATAAGCCTATTTCCAAAAAAAGTGGAGTATCCCTTTAAGTCAGTAAAACTGTAAATGCCATATTAAAATGTCCTTGGACAAAATATACATTTGGCCCTAAGAGGGGACCTACAAGACATTGTGCCCAGGGGCCTCGGAACTCTTAATCCGGCGGCCCTGGTCTCATTCACTTATAATTGTGTGGATTGTTTCGTATTTGTACGCACAGGAGAAATGGATGGATTATATAATACAAGGAATGCAACATACTTCAATATAATTAGTCGTGTTAGGATGAAATATAACTTCTTAACACGATTATAGTCGTACAGAGTAAGTGCTTTTTGCATACGTGTGGGTTGTTCCTATATTTTTTCGTAAATTTAGAATACATATTACAAAATTTTTGGTGAATCGTGATTTGCTCTTTATTTGTCCGGAGCCGGACGCACATTTCACGCACAAATTTGTGCGTACTCATGCTTGGTGAATGAGACGCAGTGTTTGTTTTTGACATTTTGGTATGTTCAATGATATTGACGACTAAGGCCATCCCTTCCAATGAAGAGATTTTTTTTTTTTTTTTTTTTACTTCTTACATGATGTGATGTGGAGTCTAGTGTTCATGCGAATAGCTTTCATACCGGCATGTGGCTTAATTTAGTTCTGTAGAGTAATTCCTTATTTAGGACCACATGCATGTGTTAAATGATTCTGTTCACATGCCTGTATGCCAACATATGCTTCATCTTTAGAGGATGTGAGATCTCCTCAGGAGGGAAGTGCCTGTACAATGCATTACAAAGCACCATTGTAGTTTTGTTGCCATCTTGTGTATTGATGTTACACCATGTTGATTAGCATCTGATGTAAATGATTGATCCTCTTTAATGCAAAGATTAGAAGGATGTTTAGCGCATTAGTAGGAAACTGACAACTCTGAATAATGTTCAGATGCCTGGATTCATCTGATCACACTTTCCTTGATCTAATCATGTGTGAAGGCTGCTATTTGATGAGCCTGAAATTGTACTCTTTGGTCTCAGCAGTGTCCCACAATGATTAGATCCTCATAGATAGAAAGAGTGATTCAGTATGTGATACTGAGGGTGTGGTATTTGTAATTTTCAGAATCAGAAACTTGCAGTAGCTTTAGGGCAACAGGCACTTTTGTCTGAACATCTTGATGTCATAGTTACATCCTAAAAGGCTGATTTGCACCATTCTGCTGCTTTAGCACAATCCAGCTCAGATCTGCACTTGATTCCGCTGCCATTTCTGAATGACTAGAGTGCTTTTACTTATACATATTATGTCCTGCTTTTGGTAAGGGTCTTAAGAGTCAGCTTGAAAGCCTTAAGTAGAACGGATGTATTGTTTACTGCAAGTAATTGCATGCAATTTATGGAATGCCAAAGCTGACTTAATTAAAAATAAATAAATATACAAAGAAATGTAAAGTACAAATAAATGAGTATTTATACTTTTATTTCCTTATGTATAATTGTATTTTTTCACACATTTATTTTTTATTTTATTTATACATTTATTCATTTATTTATTTCCACTTTTTTATTTCCACATTCATTTATGTATATATGTTTTTATGTCTACATTTATTTCTTTTCACATTTATTTATTTCTACATTTATTTATTTTCACATTTATTTATTTCTACATATATGTATTTGTACATTTCTTTGTCCGTATGCTAATGAGGGGGGCGTGTTTTACCTCAGACATCAGCAATCGAGCTCAGAGTGGCAGTGCTGAAGCTTTGAGGCCACAGTGACACCTTGTGGTGTGTGACCAAACGAAACGCAAGAGGTGTGCGGACAATTTCACATTTTAAGTCATGTATATATCACCCTAACTGTATGTAGGGTAGGCTATAGGGTTAACACACATAGCACACATGAACAGAAACTGCACTTCAACGGGTCTGATAGCAGACACTTGGACATGGAAGCGCATGAAAGTATCCACTATTAATAACAATGTAAACGCGGTGGATAGGGCTGATAAGAGCTTGCGTTTATTGTCGATGATGAGACTCGCACACCAGCGCAGAACGCGGAGAGAAACCAGCGCACATTTCACTGACTCCACGCAAGCATATTGATCAATGAGTTTGAAACGCGACTCAATACACGGTTTACATTCGCGTTTCATAATTTCGTATGCATAACAGGTGACAATTCAAATGCTTAACACAACCCATATTTCATATATGCTGCTCTTAGATACTGATTAATCACAAGTCATCAATTTGGAATTATTCTTAAATCAAACAGAAGGGGCTCATTAGCATACGGACAAAGAAATGTGGAAATAAATAAATGTGGAAATAAATAAATGTAGAAATAAATAAATGTGAAAATAAATAAATGTAGACATAAAAACATATATACATAAATGAATGTGGAAATAAATAAAAGTGGAAATAAATAAATTAATAAATGTATAAAAAAATAAAATAAATGTGTGAAAAAATACAATTATACATAAATAAGGAAATAAAAGTATAAATACTAATTTCTTTGTACTTTTTTACATTTCTTTGTATATTTATTTATGTATTTATTTATTTTTAATTTAGTCAGCTTTGGCATTCCATAGCAATTTGGGATATATTTCACTTGTTTTCTTTCAGTGTTATTAGTTTTGAGAACTTCATTTTTACCCAGTATACTCCTCCTAAGTCGTCTAAAGCCCTATTTGCACTGGATTAGTATTACCTGGTGACCTCTAGTCATTTGTAATAATGAGGTTGGTAGGTTGTCTGTGATCTTAATCCCGTGCGAATCGGCCATGTCTATAATTTGTAAAGTAAAAATTTCCCCGCAAATGACCTACCATATTTCGCCGAACACCGAGGTCCTGTGATAATATTAGTGCCGTGGGAATCGGCATCTCTGTGATTTGGGAGCGTTGTATATAATTTGTTCAAGATTTGTTTCCTGTGTGCCTTTTTATCCATATTTCTCGAAGAATGGAGGCCTGAATAGCTTAGGCTACTATTATTACACAGGAGCCTAAACTCTGAGAAAACAATAAGGTTCAGCGCACCAGAATAAAATGTAATATTCAAAATTAAACTGTGTAGATGACTTACAGATTCAGTTAACATCCACAAATAAGCTTGACGATTCAGTGGAGGTTCAGTCCTTGGCTGGAGCAGCTACACAGTGAACTCCGAGAAAACGCTACGCTTGAGCAAACAGTTTGTGAATAGGCTACTACAAATGATGGTTGTGAATAAAATATAATATTCAGATAATTTTAAACCACAACCCTCTAATTATCAGAATGTTTATTTTTAAACCACAACCTTCTAAACAT